GTATTTCACCATGGGACTCCAGAAGCAGGCTGACATGGTCCAGGCCAATCTCTTCAAGTACTCGCTAGAACACATCCGCTGTCGACACCTGGTGCTGGAGAGACTGGGCATCTACCAGCTGCCCAGCAAGCCAGGCGGCACGCGGGCGGACAACCCCAAGCTCTGCCGCATCGTCGACTGCACTGATGCACGGTTTGCCCAAAAGTGCGCAGGGATATCCCCAGAGGAGTATGAGACCTTCCAAAGGAATCTGGAAGATGAAGCGAAGCGGGACGACGAGGGGGATACGGAGGAAGAGACGGACGAGGGCTTTGTAGACTATGACCATGATGACGGCACAAGGCACACATCATGAAACTTGACTATGCACCCATTCATGTATCATGTACCTCAACAGAACCCTCCAGCTTGCCAAGTGCAGACTCTGGTGATGACGCTAGGATAATTTGAAATGGCTGAATATTCAAATACTGGTATTAAACTTATTATTTATTAAACAAAGATTGAGGTACTCGGTTGTATTAAATTCCCTGGACCTGAAGCAAAATATATGTTTTGACAAAAAGTAAAAATGGAAAGTCTTTCAGGAAACTTAATTTTGGTCTTACATGTAGTACTGGGCATATCGAATTTAGCTGTCTTAAGTTGACTTGAGTAAGATTGTGACCTTGAAATGTGCTTTTAAAAGAGCCATTTTGTGACCAAGCAATTGAATACTGTATGTCCCTTTCTTACTTCCTGATTTCACCGCTGAATATGTGTATTCAATTGGAATATTCTGTGATTAATCAAATATCCAATATGTTCCTATAAGCGGAACAGTCCTATCTGATAAGAGCAGAAGAAAACATCTCTTGGTCCAGCAGTTGTATGAAACGGCTTAGTGGCTGGCCCCTTGGGTCCAGATTTGTCTGTTATGCAGGACTTGTCCATTAATGGGATTGTTGAATTCCAAAGATAAAACGCTGCTTTCAGAAAACTTCATACAAAATCTTTTGTCCAAAATAGGACAACCATTAAATCTCCAGCAAATGTGTACAATCCAGTTTTGTAAGTCTGAAACGTTTAAAATAGAGTTTTAATGAAAATCTGAATTACATGTACACAATAAAAATTGAAATACTGTTCTCAATACTGTTCAGGGATCACTTGAAAGTTCCACATGTAACAAAATGTCACCTCGGGTCCATATAAACCACTTCCGTGACCTTGACTTTCATTCGAAGTACACTGTATGATTGCCTTCATTTTCTGCAAAGTGGTGGAATTTGGAGGATTCAGGGTGTATGGCAAAAGTGAATGGCTGATTTCGAAGGATGCCATGTGTGAAGGTCATGGATTAGACCTTATGTTGTTTGTACTTGGTCAAGCACAAATTCAGCCCGATATTTCTTTTGAATCAACCGCACTGCTCAAGAGTGCCATTCGCACTGCCTCAAAGTAATAACAGGAATTGCCGGAGGATTTTGAAGGATTCAGGTAGTTACATGTATCTACTCCAAATGACATTTTCAAGAAATTTTGGAGGATTTGGGCTGAATGCAATTTTTTCATGTTGAAAATCGGAGGATTTCGGAGGATTCAGGATGGTTCTTAATAAAAAGGCCTAGGGGGTTAGGGATAAAGTGTTGCATGTTTAATGCAACTCCTGACATCTAGGGAATGCTTAGTTTTCTCAGATCAATCAAAACAGTTTGGAATTACTGTAAGATTTAGGTAGACATGGTAGCTGGGAGGGGATTATTTTTCAATACAGAAATGTGAATCTTTATACTGGGACTAATTACAAAGAACTTACTTTTCTTTGTTTTAAAACAAAAGCAGAGAGCTTTCAACAATAAGCCTCTTGCGGTTAAAATTGTCTAGTTAAAGTGGCAGTGGGATATTCTCTCCAAAGTTCTTTTTCCTTCCCAGGAAATTCATTTTCATGCCACAAACTGAAAAACTTTTCCCGGAAGATTTTCCAGAAGTTGGGAGAGATTTTCACAGATTTTCCCACAATTGGGGAAAGAATTGTAGTTTTTCACACAAGTGGGAGAAGGCTTTCACACATTTGCACACCGTTCACACAAGTGGGAAAACATTCTTGAGCCTTGTAAAATGCAAGCGTGAATGCAAAAGTAAATTCCTTCCACAACATTTCCCACTCCGCTTCTCAGTGTTAACTTTCAAAGGCAGTGTACATGTCAGCTCTGCATCTGACCACATGACACTCAGTACGAGGGAGGTTACAGTCTGCTGAAATGCTCTGTCATCCATTCGATGAAACTCATTTCAAAGAGCTGCACAGTACTCAGGCATGCAACTTGGACTTTGACCCACAATGAGGAAATTCCAATCTTTACAAGATTTTGTTTGGCCGCGAGTGTGAAGTGACAAATGCGGAAATCAGCTGATCCAACAAACAGTTGCACGCCCGAGTACTGTATCCATGGCAGGGACTGAATGCAGCTCACAAAGTCTCTAACCCCGGGACCATGCAGGATCGTAGATCAGAGGGTAGAACTGCCCTTCCATCTTGTCTCCCTGTGAAATTAACAAAAAATGTCTTGGTCAAGTTTGTTTGCTTTCTTGATAGACCGTTTTTTTCAAAAAGCTTTTTCAATGCTCACTTGGAGTAATTCTCAGAACAGTGAACCATAACGTGTTTATCAAGAAAGGTTTTGCAAATCTTGCAGTCACTTTGACACCAATTTAGTGAAATCGAACTTGCCCTTCTTGCACAGCGTATATTTTGCCGAGACAGGTCAGCCCCAAAATCCATACTTTTGTTCAATACATGCGAGCTGACACCCGTGAGGCCATCAAATTTAAATAACCATATTACCATAAACCTATTATGTCCTATTGGATTGAAATTCAAATTTACACTGATAGTACATATACATGCATACAGTTGAACCTCGTTAATAAGAGCACTGTTAATACAAGATTCTGCTTACAAGGAAACTTTTAGGTCCCAATCCTTATTCATTGTTTTCACTCCTGATAATTCATGGAGAAGGTTCCCGTTATAACAAAGTAATTTACCAAGTCCAAAAGACCTCTTATTAATGATGTTCGACTGTACTAAGTTTCAAAATGAAAGGCAAAGGGCACCCCCCCAGCTGTGAGATGGTCCCCAAACCCCCCATCTTCTTTTTAGGGTTACATATTCTACTTTTGTATTTAAGACTGACCTTTTTAATCAAGTTGGTCCCCTCCAGTAATGGCTCATCTGTGTTACTACACACTCCATCGGCGATGTAGTTCACGACGCAAGCGCGGCGAGAATACTCTGATCTGTGGATTGTGAAGATGTTTGTCAAACATTCTTTAAACACTTGACCTGTTGCAATGTCAAGCAAGCAATATATGCAGTCTTGTAGCAAATCTTAGGGGTGTGAGTGGCTACTTCAAATTAAAGCTGAAAACAGCTACATGTAGCTAAAAGTTGAAATGTAAGAAGTCTCCAAACGTTTGAACACAGCAGGTGTAGAAAAAACACTGAAACTCGGGGTCAACATCTGAACCCCAAAAAACTGAATTTTCACACCTTTGAAATCTCTTGTTCCGGTTATGCATTAAGTGTTTTGAGGACTGGGTTTTTGTTAGGAGTTTACAAGAACTTCTGGGGTTGGGTCAGGACAGGAGAGGAAACTCAAATGCTTTTGAAGTGCTAGTTTACACCTTGTGTATGACCACCATCCTAAGTTGCGGTTTCCATGTGGCCTTTAACCCTACAAGACCAGAGGGGAGGGGCAGAAAATCATCTGCCACCAATGATTTTGTCCGATATCTCCGCGGTGCTCTTTTCCAGGAGTCAAGCCTAAAGGAGGTTTTTCCATAACTCTCTGCTGCCATTCAGACACCCATTTGGTGAAAATCATTATTACACTGCTCTGGCACAGTGCCCATTATTCTGAAGCAGGTCAGCTAAAAAGTGAATACGTTTCCACTGCCATGGTCAGTGCAAACAAGCTGGTATACATGTGGCCTTCAAATTCAAATGACTGTAACATTAAAAACAGTATTTCAGATTCAGATGAAATTCCACGTTTGCACCGATAGGGAGTGTTTTTACATGCCAGCAAAGTCGGACACAGGATGGCCAAGGGATATTTATGGGGGGAGAATCCCCCTTCCCCCATTGAGACGATAAAATAACACGATTCTTCAATGGTTAGCTTCTACCTCCAAACTGAAGGGTTGAAGACTTACTGGGCAAAAGGAATTAGGGGCCATATCCTGCAGCGACATGGTGTTAAGCATCACGGAAATTGCTGTGCCGCTGCGACAGTGGTGCAGCACAAAATCCCAACACAACACTCTCTGCCATTAATGGGGGCCATCTGAAATGTCTAACGAAACATTGCTTGATTCGTCCATATTATTATGGCATATCTGATATGCACGCAATGGATTTTGACTGGGCACAGTGACTGTATGGGAAGACCCATCATTCATCCCCCAACAATTTCACCTCGGCGTGCCAGGTTTGCATCACCTGTTTGGCTTGGATCCGTGCACTGTCAGCGGGTGATGGAGGCTCGCCTCTCCTTTCTTCAGCAGAGCATGGACCGGCTTGAATGCAACCTTCTCGTCCTCGGTCAAGATTGTCTGAGTGGACAAAGTAGTCCTTTGTGTTATGGGGATCTTACACTTGTAATCACTACACACAGTATCTGGACAGGATAGTCAGCGACTGTGAGCATATATTCTGGTATGCTCTTCTCGCTCTACTTGACACAAACTAAGGAGGGCGCTATATACGATTAGTGGTAGACAGTAACTCCTGTGTCCCAGACACTTTGCTGTTAAAGCATATCAGCAGATACTAGGGCGTAAGGGTTACGCATGGTGACAACATGCAGGCTTCATTCTTTACCCTAAGCCAAGAGGTCCAACTCCGTAGGAAAAAACTAGTCCCCCTCTGGTCTTATTCTTAAGATTACTGTCTGGACTAAAAATACTCACTGTGCCGAGTTTGAGCAACCAGTTGAGTATGTTACACAAAGAAGAGAGGATTTTTATTGTGTTGCCTGAATGACTGATGGTACATCAGAGGAGATTATTTCTTTTTCTCCTTGCATTCACCAACTTCATGTTTCACTTACCTGAATGGACTCCATATCCTTGAAGTTGAAGTCAGTCACTGGTAGAGGGGCACCGTCTCTAGTCCACCTGGGGCAACAAAGGGGAATTTCTATTGTGATGAGTCAGTTTTAATGACCTTCTAGACTGTGCTGCATGTCTCCCTACACTAAGCACTGACATTGAGGTATGGCTGGGTGAACCTGCGATATGGTTAGAGTAATGTCATACGATTAACAGGCGGTGGGTTAAGAACATGATAAGGTGCAGGAAACTTAATTGGCAGATGGGTTGTAGGCAGGTGCGTAGGGCGTGGCACAGGTAGAGTGGCATGTGTGGAAGAGTGCTGTGGGGGTTTGTGCTAGGGGATGCAGTTGGGTGTGGACAGATGTAATAAGAGTGTGATGAGGGTGGGTGATGTGTGCAAGCTAGTTGCTGCAGTTGCAGGAGGGGCTAGAGCGTTAATTTCAAGGGACGAGATGAACGAGTGTTGAAAAGGAACTGGCAGTATGAGTATAACACTCAATTCCCATTTCTAGCTAGAAACTGATTACTCACCTGTGTGATCCTGGGATATATTGCAATCCTCCATTGTCCAGTGTCTGTGCATCTAAAGCTATGTGGATCGTCAAGTGAGCCATGGGCGTGGTGCGAGTCCAATAGGAATAATCCTGGTGCCTGGAAAAAAAGGGTCTAAAAATGTGACCAACATGACAACCAATGGAAAGAAAGGAACAAATCTGATTAGAGATTATAATATTTATGAGCTGTGGTTGGAAACATATTCCTTAAAATGAAGGCATTAATAGGTCTCAAAAGTTGGAAGACAGAACATTCTATGAGAACATTGCCTTTTCTAATTGAAAACAACTTCTCCCAGGAACAACGTGTCCCCAAATTGAAATGGTGATCCAAGCCCCTGCAAGAATTATTTTGGAATGGTAGGTTTCCATCAGGAACACGGTAAATTCCCAAGAGGCACTTTCGTTTGAAGTTCAAGACCACACATATCAGCCCATCTATATTGAGCTAGCTTGTTGGTAAACGCATTCGGGGGACTTGTCACCAAAAAAAGTGCTATGAGAGAATGGTATGTCTTAATTTTCACAAAATTGTTATCAAAATAATCATAAGATATTACTGACAAAAATTCTAATGGCTCTGATCAGGGTCAGGAGAGGGACGGAGGACCAGGAATGTGATCACAGGAGAATTTAAAGACCAGATTCAAGGGCGGATCCAGGATTTTCCAAAAAAGGGGTTGGGGTATGAATTAAGCAGCAATGGTATTCCCCACACCCCTCCAGGATCCGCCCCTAAGATTACAGCTCAAATATATGCATTAAACAGATTGCTTAATGACATCAAGCAAAAAAAGTGGGATTTGAGACAGAATCGACAGCACACTCTTACAGTCAGATTGTCATTCGGGGAAAACCTACCAAGCCACATTTCCTCCGTAGTGTGGAGGTTTTCCAAACAGTTGGTCATGCCATAGTCGCACTCTTCGCTCCTGGTGTGGATCCAACAGCTGTGAAGCAGGCACCTGATGGAATAAATTGGACTCATCACAAAATAAGGAAGTAGGAAACAAGACCAGAAACACTTAGACAATGATTTGTATCAAGTTTTAGGTGTCTACTCATAAAAAAGTCTGAGTAATTTTTGTTCTCACGTCTGCTTTGACTTACAGCATCGAAGTGGCCACTTTCTCTTTAACCACTTGCTGCTGGGGGGTACGTTTTCGAGCACATAGGCTTTGTACACAGAGCCGGGGAGCCCCAAACCGGGACAAAAGAGCTGGGCCTTGTAACAAAAGACCGCACTCAGCACAAAAGACTGAGCTGCTGGGAATTACTGACACTTTTTCACTCTCAACAGTGGAGACATTCCAGCATTGCTTTGAAACAGTATACCATGGTTTGAGGCATTTAGTGTGAGCGGATTACAACTGGGACAAAAGCACTCCACCACTGCAGCGATGAGCCACACAGCACCGCTGCACGCTAATCTGGCTCCTATTGAAAAGAGGTCAGCAGCGCACTGTGCCAGGTTCATGAACAAAAGAAAATTATATAACACTGCACAATCTGGGCTCTTTCTACAAGCCTGCAGGCCTGGCTGAAATACTCGAGCATCAATAGATTTTGTCTGTCAGGCTACAGTGGCCACCAGACAGTAATTCATGTGGATGTAAATGTCCATTATTTGAAATGATAAATTTTGGAAGATTTTTGAAAACTGAAAATCTTGAAATTTGCCCGTACGTGTGCACTGCATTTTTCAAGCCACCCGGCAGCATGTGGTTAAAACAAATCCCCTTTTCCAGTTGGATTATATCTATATGAAATGTACAACGCTATATTGCCTGGATAAGATATTAACTTTTTATTAAAAAGGAAATTTGATTTAATACTTTATGCGGAAAAGAACTGACTCTGTTTTTATACCAGACACCCGTATTGAATATTAATTTTAGTGCACAGATAGGCACCAGACTATCTGCTCCGAGTGGGACCAAGACTAAGAGAAGAAACAGTTTCCCTGACAACATAGGCTTCTGTCGTGGCAACTGCTCTTTAATTTGCTGGTCCACCAATGACTGTGAAATGTATTCAAGCAGTTGCAGCGACAATAAGACGACCACTCCCCACCAACATGGCTCTTTTCAATCAATTAATGAGGTGCCCAGGCTCTGCTCAAAACGGATTCCTAATTAACATAAGCATACACAGCTTTTGAACATGATGCAAATGTTGAGTTACCAGGCTGGGGGTGAGAGAGCAATGAGACACACTGCTTGACACCATGAGGATGGGGTTGGGTGTAGATCCGATAGGGCTTCTTTTTTTCAGTCACTCCTGAAAGGCACTTCAAAGCTAAATGTGACTGGCTCTGCAAAAAGGTGCATTATGTCACTTTTTTGGGATTTGAGTTACATATACATATAAATCAAACTGCTCACATCTTAAGCTTTCATCTGATATATAATTCATATGTGGCATTTTTCATTTAGGAAATATTTTCCATTTGCATATTCATGTGATTTCATTTATCACACGTGCTTTTTGAGATAATACTCCGTAAACATAACAAACAGAAACATTAAACTTAAATTAGACACTCTCTTGGTTTTCCTTAGCAACAGAGGCTTTCTGGTCAAGCAATTGGCCTCAAAATATTTCCAAATTATGAAACATGTTTTTCCCTCGGCACTTGGAATGGGCCATTGCGCGTTTTTGCATTGCACAACTTAATACAACTTTTTGCAGAGAGGGTCACAAATTTCGAAGAGAATGCATTCTGAGTTGTGGCTTCTAGTAACATTTATGACTTGACTGAAGCCCTCATAGACCCCCTGGTGCAATTTTTGCATCTGTCTGAATTACCGCGATGCTTGGGATGAAGCAGACATCGTGAAAACTGGGTGTCAGTCTCCAGTGACCGAGGCAGTGAAGGAGAACATTGTGTGGATCGTTGGTCTGATTGCAGTGGAACTCGTACATCATATCGATGCCAGGAAACCTGTCATTGTCCTCCTAGAGAGACACCGGCGAGACAAACTTAAATTGACTTTTAACACCATATCACCATCAAATGTGCACATTATTACTGTAACAACAATATTGTAGCGTGTTCTACTTATTGGGCTCTGATGCTGTCACAGATACACACAGTCAGCCACAAATCGCCGCTCCACGCAAGAAACCTCTTTTTCATTTCTTTCGACGTCAACAACACTGTCTCTCAGACAAAGCTCTAGACACGAGGCATCTAGGCGGGGACTGCGCAGGCGCGAGGCGGGAAAACTGCGGGCCATTCGCATACCAGCGGGGGCAGCCAGCCAGCTCCATGCGGGTCCGAGCTGGCGCCCCCACCGGCCGGACCCGCCAGCGCTACAATATTACACAGTTTGCTTCAGTTTGGGCTTTTCAGAAATTGGCTAAGAATCAGCGTTGGTTTTTTTCTTCGATTTTAGAATGCTTTTCAAGAGGGGTTTGATTTTGAGGGATGGGGATACATGTAGAGGATGCCTTTGCTGAGTCTATCACGCGTCCTTTTGTAAGTCACGAGTGGTCTTGTGATAAATTTCACACAAAATGACAACTGTGGTTCAGCTGCATTACTTGACTACGGCTATGGATGACAATAAGGCGTATGTTTATGGGAAACGGAAGCAGCCACTAGGCCAGTGGCTTCCATACACATACATGTACAGTAGCCTTATTCTGAGCCACAGCTGAGTAAACTGGACAAGGTCTTACAATGAGTCTCTGATAGTCCAACAGGATCTTGTCGCACTGCTCCTCTGACAGCACGGGGATGTTGGTCAGGTAACCATCTCGCCAGAATTGATCCACCTGCTCCTGGCTCAGTTTGAAGTGGCGCCAGTCTGCTGGCTCCTGAGCAACATGGCAAATAAGTACAGAAAAAAAAGTAATTCAAACTATTGACGCAAGATTAATGAAGATGATATGTGTGGGAATGTGGTATTATGGTAATTTTGTATGGACTGTTTGCAGGTAACTCAATCTGGGACGGCTAGGCAGTTTTGCTGGTGAGGCACCCAATACAACTTGGTATGCACTGATGAAGCAGGTACCCGGTATCCGTAATATACATGTATTAATAGTGATCAAATGTGAGCTAATTAATGTATTCCCATAACTGTTTAACAAAGAAAGGTCAAAGATTGTCTTCACCATATCAGTGGTTTGTCTCAACATACAATTTTGTCAGTAAACTTTAATCAGATATCGGCATCTTTTGGGGGGGGGGTTTCAACGAAACAAGCCAAAATTACACGAAAGGAAACCCGTCTTTACTTGTCATTGCATGCTTCATGTGGCACTCTTGCGGCTACATTCTCCAAGCAAATACGTCAGATGAGCTTCTTTTTGTAGAGCCCATCAGCCACCACATACCAGGGATGGGTGCACGGCTGAATTACACAATAAAAGCTTTGCATGGTAGCCATCTCGCAGGGCAGTTCTTTTGTTCCGCAGGGAAACTTCCTTTGTGCATATCATGTGAAATGTAAGTACTGGCCTGCAAGATGGCAGCCATGCAAACCTTCTATTGAGTTTCATACACCCGTTTGCATGCCTCATCATCCGCCTATGTGAACTTCAACAATCCTCAATTCTCCAATTTACTCATACCCGGGGTTGGGGTTTATATCTTTCTCATTATCAATGCAGGGTGTTGTACATTTTCAGCACCAGTGACATCAATAGGGGTTAATTGGGGCATAGGAGAATCGATCTACCCCCTCCCCTTGGTTGTCTGTGCCCCCCCTCCTCCATTTCTCCTGGAATCATGAAATGAACTAACAGACTAACGAACTAACAAAAACATACAAGCTGCAGGAATACACATGCTTTCATAAGATCAGTATTCCCTTGAAAACATGTCACGCCACTCCCCAACATTACCTGAGACCAATTGAGATATATCCTTTACTTTTGAGACACATGTCCTTTACTTTTGTTTTGGCTAACAAACATTGGAAAGAAATCCCTATGGACACTGTGACTCGTGAGACGCTTTGTCCGCAAACCCAGTATAAAACCGGTCTGAGAATTCTAACTGTTATACTGTTTACCGAAAATGGGTCACTTGGGAGACATTCCCATCAGAACGCGCACAAACTTTACTGTCCCATAATTAAATATTCCCTAATCTGATCTGAACCAAACTTTGTATGTTTTCAATTTTAGACCCTAATCAATCATCTCTAAAAATTTGGACGGTACAATTTGGCCTCCTGGTAGCTGGGGCATTAGGGAGACATTGAAATGTCTCCCTAATGACCGATGTCTCCCTAAGGTCGAAAAATTTACCATAAAATCTAAGAATACCAGTACCTCAATATTTTCACTGCTAAATTTGACTTAAATTAGGATAGTTTATAAATGACTCCAAGTCGATCATGTTGATTTGAATGTGTGTTTTCCGGTGATCTGTATGTGGCCGAATTACGGCTCAAATGACACACCTTCACGGGCTTGAAAAGCCCTCCCAGCGGTTCATGCACTGTGCTCAGGTCGCGACAACGAACCCCAGCAGACACGCCCCCTCCACTGGCTTCTTGCACATCCATGGCATCTGTCATAATTGAAGACCAACCTCACGCATGCGGAGACGAAGCAATGATCACACTCACTATTTGGTGCAACCAATTCGACGATTTAGTTAAGAAGAGCGACAACGAATAGTTACCTAATCAAAATAACAGATACCACGGGCACCTCAGTCATGTCAGGTAAGTCAGATCGGCAAAGAGCGGTTGATAAGACTCAGGCCACCTGTTCGCATACCGGTCTGATTAACACGACAGCAGGTGAATCATTCGCCCTACGGTGAATTGACCAACTTCTCACCAAACGGTGGCGCTGTTAAAAAAAGGCTTTGTCATTATTAATTGGCTACGGCTGGCAATAACACTTACATCTAGAGAAATGTTAAGCCGTTATGTGGCGTCTTCCTCAGTACGTTCCTGGCTTTCCAGCCATAGCCAAGAAAAAGTTCGACAGAGCTAAATTGCTCGAGCTGCGCTGAGATGAGTGAGGGGTAAAGCTTCAGATGCAGTTTGATGAGACTTGGAAATCCAGCAGCATTTCTTCCCGCCTGTCATCAGCTTATCGAAAGTCCAGGATCATCCGCGTGTACCAGCAGTGATATGTGATTCGTCTGCCGTCTGATCTTCTAGGAAAGTGGTAAGTATTATCTGAATTTGAAAAAAATAACGCGCGAGCACGACGATCGAGCGATCGTCAAGCCTGCCGCGCCGACCTGCCGCAAGCTGCCGGTACGGTGTCGTTCGCTGTGCGCTGCATGCTAAGCAGTAGTGCATGATGTGCTGTGCTAGTGCACGATGTGTGGGTGGATCAAGGATGGCTGGCGCTCACTGTTCCACAGGAGTGTATTAAACTAAATTACTGGGCGGCATCAAAAGGTCAGAGAGCTTCAAGCCACAACATACAATATGAGTTATTACCATTGCCTATTTGATTCTCTCTACTCTGGTCCTGAAGTAACCGTCTTTTAAATCTAATGAAATAAATTGGAAGTGATGAGGCAATCCCTTCCGTTTCTTTTGGAGGCTTCCCTGTGCAAACAAATACTTGTGCATCCAACCTTCCTGGCCTGTATTTTTTTTTTCCACAAAATATGTACTGATGATATTTTACCGTCAATGTTTATCACATCAGCTTCTTTTTATTCACACTGAGGGCCCCATGTGTATCGATACCGGTACAGTACATGTACATGTAGGCCTACACGCATGTGGAAATGTGTACCAGCATGACCAGAAGAAGCACTGCAGCAGGAAAAACTTTGCCATTTTTTTGAGACAACTTTGCAGAGACTAAATTGTATAATTAGACTAAATTAAGGTCACATAAAAAAAATACATGTAGGCCTACATGTACACGTAGTTGGTGATCGTCCCGCCTGCCCCTCAGAAATACATGTACGCCCACCCCCATTTTTAAAATTTTTTTATTTATTGAAAAAAAAAACAGCCTTTTGGATGATCCCACGTTCAGATTTAGCGATTTTTCTTTTACGTGCTTTGGAAACAATACTTTCGGAAATTGCCAGTTAATCCAGAACATCGACATGTATGAGTGCAGATTCACCCAACCTTGACTCCAAAAGTGAGCCCATGGGAATGAGGTTGAGATTCACCAAATCGTTAGCATGTTTGTGTGTGCCGCATCATTGTATTGGCTGCGGTTGCAGCCGCTATGGAAAAACGAGCAGCCGGCAAGGCGGCAACCACTTTGTACAGTGTGGTTGCAGCCATAGCCAGTAATTCGGATGCGGCTTCGACCGCTGCAGCATGCTGGATCAGTACGCAATAGCGGCATCCATTCCCAGATACAGATTCCACTTTACAGTGCTACAGCACCGTGACCCTCTCTGAGAAAACCCTCTTACTTTTGCCTGGCTGAGCAACCCCTACCTCCTTTTGTGATGAATGATTTGTACATATGTAAAACCCTTTCCTTAAGAAGATAAGTAAAACTCATGTCATAGAGGAAACTGATCTTTATTTAATATTTACCAATCTACCAAAGATGCACATGTATGTATGTTGAACTGAAAATAAAAAGCCCTCCCGTCCAAGATTTTTAAAAAAAAGGACTCTCACCAATCTTTTTTTTTCATATGGCCTCATAAGACAGTCACTTCAGAGCATGATCCGAAATGGTACATTTAATGACAACTTCGATTGACTTTCACCAACTATTGCTACTGGCAGGGGGTTACAAATTCGTCCACCTTATGCCCACACATATATGTATAGGGATTCCATGTACACGTACATGTATATATGTACTGTATACCTCACTGAAGATCCCCTCGATGTACCATACAATATACATGTTGGTAAGTTTTTTACAGGTAGATGTACATGTACAACTGATTTGATTTGTCTACGGAGGGCACTCCAGATGTTTTCCTGATGTTTGTTTTACCTCCGAACATCAAATCCCATGCACTGTACAGTATAGGAATTCGTCAGTTTACTGATGCCATGGAGTTTAGTTTATTTAATAACAACACTCTGTTAAAATTCTGTGCAAAGTGTACAGTTTATGGTGTTGGTGTACTTTTCATCTGAACTCTGTTAAAATTCTGTGCAAAGTGTACAGTTTATGGTATTGGTGTACTTTTCATCTGAACTCTGTTAAAATTCTGTACAAAGTGTACAGTTTATGGTATTGGTGTACTTTTCATCTGAACTCTGTTAAAATTCTGTACAAAGTGTACTGTTTATGGTATTGGTGTACTTTCCATCTGAACTACATGTACATGTGATGGAAAGAAACTTTGCAGAATGAAAACACCCCATGACTTGTACATTTCTGGTGATGAAGCAGTCACCAGTCAGAGACTGCCCACGCAATTCCGTGAGAACACCCAAGAAGCCCGGTCTGAGCACAGTGTTTGTGGATGGCTACACGGTCACTAGGCTACAGCTTGCTTCAAGGTGGTGGTGTGAAGGCACCCACTTGCAACACAAATCTATGACATCGGATGAATGAATTTGTGTTGCGAATTGCCAAAGTGGAACACATCTCAAGTTGAGCGAGATCCACCGTGTTGTAGTCGAGACCAATTAATTTAAGACCTTCACCAGACCACACTAGACCAGCACAAAACCTCCAGTCTGAATTCAAGTCACAAGCTATTCAAATGAACTCCAATAAAAGCATTCCTTTGTCATTGTTCAACCTGCTACTTGTGACTGGTCTTGTGCCTGGTCTTGTGATGGTCTCGACTACAACACTGGAGATCCACTGCAGATGATTTATGACGTCAAATTCACTTCATTTTGTATTCGCCTTGGGTAGCCATGTGACCCTACTGTATTCTTGTTGAATACATAAAACATACATGACGAGTACAGTGAATGGATACATCAAACAATTACAGCGTGATACTATCGTTGATTTACATGTTCATGTACATGTATCACAGGACAGTTGGAGGATCCAAAGTGGAGGGGGGGGACAAACAACATTTAAATGAAAACCATTTCTCAAAAGGGAAGAGCAGTTTGGCCTCCCCACCCCCTTGCAGTCATTCACTTCACACCCCTACCCCTCCTTCACCTTTTGCCAAAGGTGTTCAGCCCTTAATGACTAGATCACATACAATTAATGGGTTTACAAATGATAGTACTTAACTAGGAACAGGGATGTACAGCAGTACACATGTATGTACCTGAACGTAAAGTAATATACTGTAAGCTGGAACACGAATCCATTCAGACTTCACACCTGCGGACATTCCAGCTTCCAAAGTGGATGATAAGACTGAGCACAAAACCAAACACTTTTGGTGTCATTGACTCCTGCTACCGGAGGAAAACTACCTTCAATTTCATTGAAATGAAAAACAAAAGAACAAAGAATCGAAAAACAACTGATGAAAGTGAAAAAAAAAAAGAGTCTGTGGAAGGGGAAAAAAATTGAAATGGTGAAAAAAAAAAGGTAAGCCATTTAGCATTTTTTGCTGTTTTAAAAGAAAAAAAACATTCTTTGGACTGTCTTTAATAAAAGCAGTTAAATGAACTGTAAACTTTCAGGTACAAAGGCCTTGGATGCTGGGTTTTTACAAAGTTAAGGCCGGTTCATACGACAGGCATATGTGAAAGTGACGCAAATAACGGCAAATTTGATGCCACAAAAGATTTAAAGCGAAATTTCTCTAGAATTAAAATGTATTCAAACTTTGCAAATTCACAGTGCAAAGATTTGATCTGATGACACGTGGTTTGTGGTCGCCTGTGCATGAAGTACATGTACCGGTCTTAAGGCCCCACTTTTTCCTGCACATGTGTACCGCACATGCAAACAAACATGATATTTCCATCTCAGAATAGATGCGAAGACGATGGAAGCTCGGCAAATTAAAACACAGGTGCAGTTTTGGTCCCGCTAGTTGTTTGTTTTTTGATAAAGTTATAATGCTTGGAAATATTTCAGCAAGATGTTTATCAACTCTCCTGGATTGAAGCAGCATGCCACAGTTTCAAGTGCAGGTGAGCCGGGTAGATTTCCTGTGGGTGATGGGCGTTTGATGGATGCGGTAATCAAAGTCCAGTTAATCTGCCCAGGTTAATGAGGTGTTGATGAGGTCAGCAAATGGCATCTCAGAAGGTGTCAAGTACTTCATTCACAGCTATAGGGAAATAGTGTTGGGCTGTTCGCACTGGAACAGTGAAGCATGTACACATGTCTTAACATGTGCTAAAACATAGACATGATGTTGGGACTGAAAATACATGTAATTACCGTGGGACCTACATGTACATGTAGGGTATGCCTACCAGTACAGTACATGTTTTTTTGTCCCAACAACTCAGTCTCAAGTGACTTCCTCAACTGCTCAACAAGAGAAATTTGGCATGGGCACATACCTCCTGGTACACTATATTATTATCAATTAAAATCGTATTGTGTTCATTCCATGCAATGTCCACGAACGCATTACAATGAATTACGTACATGTACTCAAGTTAAGAAAGGAATACAAATTGATAAGAATTTACAGCAAACATGTAAACAAAGAAATATTACACAACTACTGATAAAGATAACAAAACACTTGTAACCTATGTCAATATTTAAAACAACGGACTGTTATACAACCACCATCCAGAGTGTTCCCAGTTATTCAAATTCCACCTTAAACAGATGAGTTTTTAAAAAATTATAACACTGGTAGCTCGTCTAATATGAAGGGGTGCCCTTGTTACTGGTAGCTGCCGATGAAAGTTTTATTTGCTGTTGGTTTTGATTTTAAATCGCTGTTTTTCTTCGTGATACCGATTGTACCGATATT